AGAGGAGAGGAGAGGAGAGGAGAGGAGAGGGAAAAAACAGAGCATCTAAACAAAACTTTAGTGGCTACAAGTCACTCAGTAGCCCAGGACCATAAGCCACTTAGATGAAATGAAATGTATGTTCAGAAACATTGTCCACTGCATTCCTTATTCCATCATTTGAGGACTTCTTTGTTTATTTTTTCTTTCCGGAATCTTCAAGCCAAGTGCATCTTTAACCAATCAGCTTTGACCAGGAGATACAAGCTGTGTCTCTAAGAACCCTCTTTGATATCTTGATGGCATTATTTTTCTTATCGGTGCTAGGCATCGAACTCAGATGCTTGAGAATGCTAGTGGTACACTCCACGGCTGAGCTGTGCATCCAGGGCCCATGTCATAACTTGCAAGGACCATCTCCTGGTCTAGGTCCATTTTAATATATACAACTATCTACAGATACACAAACAAAGAAAAGCAGTCCCATATGTCTACAAAGACGAAAATATGTCAGTAAAAGATCAGGATCCAATCTCAGTCATCCTTTTTCATGCACCATACTTGGTCAATATGGTTCTAATATCTAATTGAGTGATGAAATGTTATTTGAAACGTGTCATTTTATTCAATGTATAACATTAAACTTCATATCCCATGAACGAGATCAAGATGAAAAAAATTACAAGTGAATATTTCTCCCTAGAACTCAGAATTAAATTCCCCCGAGTTGGCAACTCACCTGAATTAAGCAAAATGATGGATTTGAGGCACACAAACTCTTCTCCTTGCACGTTCATCATGCGGAACCGAGTTGATGCAGCCAGCAGCATGTCAAAGATTTCCACCATGCCTTCTACACATTTACCTTGATTCCTATGAAGACAAATATTAAAAAGCATTAAAGCACAGAAAACCTCCGCAAGATGTCCGGTTCACGTCATAAAACTCCCTTAGTCTCAAATCTATAACTCACTTTCTTGCAGCAAGTGTGAACATTCATGTAAATTTGAGAAGGCAAGGCAGAAAAAAAATGTTTTTAATCAACAAAGCCTTAAAATTATTACAAGAGTTCTGATGTTCAATGGCCAAGTCTTCTGTGTTGTAAGCGGAGATCTGTGGCTTACAGGTAACCAAAGATGCTTGTGGTTTGGGTACGACTGTAGACAGGCTGCTATATTCTGGACATTGTACTTGTTGTAGGGATGGAGAAAGGTCTTGTGTTCAAAGATGTGCTCCATTAATATCCAGTGTCTCCTGATGTGTTTGGAGATAATCTTGAGGACCAGTAAAGCTCTGGTAGCTATGGACTGTGTGGTTGGGCTGGGGTCACTTGTGCTACAGGGGATGGCAAGTGAGGGCTGTTCAATATCATCCCAAAAGAATCAGGGTTCAATCAGGAAGTGAGAATGCATGACTGGAGGAGAGACAGATCTGAACATGAAAGGACACCTCGTGGTACATGGGACTTGAAGAGGAGATGCAGAATAAATTTGGAAGAGTTGGGAATTGTTGGCTAAGGACTTGCTCTATGTCACTCAGGGTGAGTCATGGTTTTACCTTGTACCATAGAATTGGTATCAACAGTTTTTCATTTACTTATTTATTTATTCACTTTATGTTCTGATTTTAATCTCAGTATGAACAACTAGCAAATGAGCAAGGTCAAGGGGCTATCACATGCACCTTTGTCTTATCTATAGGGTTAGTTCTGAAATGAAAAGAGATACTATATGTGAAAGAAATTCATTCATTCTGAGGCATGATGTGTTTGGAGAACTGAAAATAGAGGAAAAAGTTAAAGTCTTGCCTATGCAAACATTTATTAGGCCCTTTATAAAAACCATTTCAGACATAAGCATGAATGTACTCATGGGTATTCGATTTTGCTTCTGTCCTAGAATTCTCTTCTCTTGTCAACAGAGGAAATAACTTGACACTAAACAAAATGCCCAGCAATCATGTCTCCTTTGATGGGAACACATTCTGAGAAATGCACCATTAATTAGGCAATTCTGTCAATGGGTGAACCTCAGGGAATGCACTTCAATCAAAATATTTGTGACCTCACTAAGTGACAATCTACTCTTGGGGCATGTGTTATATGTTGTACACATGGTCCACTGCTAATTAAAATACTGCTAGGCGGGATGTGATGGAAATCTTGTAGGCTGCCTCTTTCTTCATTCACATTTAGCTTATTATCAAATATCATGATGTTACAACAATTCATTCAGTAATAACCCTCATGTTTGTCTCTCATGCCATGTACAGGAAGCTATAAAACACGATTCTAGAATTAAAAATCCTATGCAAAAGTACATATATATATATATATATATATATATATATACATATATATATATATAAAATTAATTTTGGTGAACTACTTATATATAACATTCAAAAAGCTGCATCTATAAATGCAAAAATAGATAGACATCTCACATGCTAAAAACACGTCTTACTACTGAGCTACATTAGGAATGCCATGTATATTAGCATGAAATTTTCTCTGACCTTCTTCTTCTTACCCTTTGTCTACATTTTCCCTTAGGAGTACTGGTCATATCTTATTGATTATTAAGAACTCTTTGTATATTATAGCAATTAGTTTATGTTAGAGGTATTTTTCATGGTTTGTCTTATATTTCTTTCAATTTTGTTCTTGGCATTTTTTCCTACAAAGTCTTTATTGTACATCAACTTTCCATTTGGAGTGCCAGAACAGAATCTTCTGGTTGAGAGGATCACTCTCTATTTGGTAGCATATGAGAATTCTTTTATGCTTACTTCTAGAAAAGAAGCTCCACAGTTCTTTGTCTCAGTCTTTGATCTTCTGAGATACATTCATTTTTCTGACCACTCCATTGAGATATAACCACATACCATACACTCCTCCATTTAAGGAGCAGAATTCATCAGATTTCCCTATGTTCACAGAGTTGTACCACCAGCCTTTGGGACTTACTGTGGTGTGCCTGGTAAGACAGAATTGAGCTTGCTATTTTTCTTCCAGGCAGCAAGTGATTATTAGTGTCTCTTACTAATCAAAATACCTTTATTTACACTGACCTGAAATACACAAGAGACTTTTAATATATTCATTCCTGTCCAGCAAGGTTAATGTGTTGCTTTTTCTCATGTTTCATATCAGGGAATTTAGACCCAAACTGGTAAGGGAGACCACACACCTCTACCAACCAGAGAAAAGAATACCAACGACACAATTCTTTTTATTTTCTCTTCTTGTTCTATTTTAACTCACCCCACAAGGTTTACCGAGGAACTATTTTGTACCACCAATTAGCCTAGATATCAGAATAAGTAGGACAAGAGAGTCACAAGGCATGAGTATTGATAACATATCAAGAATGGAAACAAGGTGACAAGGAAAAAGATAAATACAATGAAATGGATATATTCCCTTAGAAGGTATAGAGAGCCTCTACACACAATAGCAAGTTCCCCAAGATGCAACCCAGGTAAGGATTCAAGCAAGTGGTTTAGTATCCTCAGACTAACTTTACTGGGTTCTCTTATGCAATGGAGTGTCCTCACACAAGGGCCAGCCTTTAAGTATCTTGCAGAAACGTATTGATAAATAGATGTATCTTCAAGTGGTTGGACATTGAATCTGAGTAGCAGAAGTGCCACATACATTCGCTTTGACTAGAAATCTGGATGATCAGGCGTTTGCTATGAACAGAGAGGACTCTGTGAAAGCTACACTTCTGAACTCTGGGGGTGGGTCTGGTTGTCACAGGAAGGCTCTCTTAGCATTGGTCAAACTGGAGACTACAGGTGGGTTTTTCTTATTCCCTGGTTGAATTTTTTAAAAGTAGTACATCTTCTTTCTAGTGAAAAGAATCAACAAGGATGGGGGAAATGTTTGGAGGATGAAGCTTTAAAAATAACAACTCACAGCCAAAATAGAGAAATGTTCCTTTCTCAGTGTAATGTCTCTGTTTACTTAACAGACTGCGCAGCGGCAGGGGAGGGAGCCTGCCTGTGGGAGGGAGCCTGTGCTCACCTGCTGTGAGCAAAAGTTCAGCTAAGAAACTGAGAAAGGGAAGGCTTAACAGTTCCCCCTCTCAAAAGTCTCCCACGCTTTCCCATGAGGAGCTCTTCTTAACTCCTGCAGGCCCTGGCTACCCTGTTATTTCCAAGCAGCAATTATTACCTGGAGATACATGAAACTTGTTCCTCAGTACCTGGAAGAGGCTACAAATGGTTCATTTCTCAGATGCTCAACTCAGTCCTCGGGTGCAGTGCGTGTGTGTGTGTGTGTGCAATGTGTATGGTATGTATGTGGTGTACATGTTCATGTATGTATGTATGTATGTATGTATGTATGTGGTATGTGTGTGTTCATGTAGTACGTGTGGTATGGATGTGATGTGTATGTACACATGTCATGGATGTAGTGTGTGGTATGTAGTGTGTGTTGTGTGTTCGTAGAGTCTGTGCAGTGTGTGTGGTATATATGTGGTATGTGTATATGGTACGTGGTGTGTGTGTGCGTGTGTGTGCGTGTGTGTGTGTGTGTGTGTAATGGTGTGGTATGTTTAGGGCATGTGGATGGAACACAGAGACCATTAACCCCAGAGGCATAATCTCAACATCCTCATAATCTCGACAAATATACACGCTTCATGTTTGAGAATCTGAACTTTGAGAGCTTCTTGGGGGAATAATGAATGCCATGTACCTCAAATTATCTACACCATGCTATGGGAGGCTGGAAAAAGTTTATGCTGACACCTTCATAAGAATAAGCTCGCTTCTCCTTTCAACGGGAGCAACTCAGTGTAAACACTAGAGCCACCAGAGGTATCTGGTGAACTAAATAGAATTTATGCACTTCCATGCTCTGATTATACCACAGCACATCACAGAATCCTGGCTGAGTCCTCCTCACTGCATGATGGGTGGTACCTGTGGGTCTTTCATTACTGCTAGTGCACCAAGTGTTCCAGTTAATAAGCTTTGCATCAACCTGTGTGCCAGCACAGACCGGTGTGGACACCAAAGGCAGACTCTTGTCACCTGCCTGACATAAAGAAATCCCTCCCAGTTGTCTGAAATCCTTGCAAGTTGTCGTCAAGAGCTTCTTTTCAAAGTCCTGCCAGAAATGTTCTATGCTAACATCAAGAAGAAAATCAAGCTCAGGCAATGACTTTAGTTTTCAAATGAACAGATGCACTGGAAGGTCCAGAAATGGACGGTATAACTATGGAGCTAGAGTTGACATTATGCTAAGACAAGATCAGCCTAAATCCATGAAATGCTCCTGAGGCTGAGGCTGAGAAACACATAGGGCATGGAAAAAAATGTTCTGAAAGGAAGCATAGATCAGAGGAGCAGTTTGTCAGGCAGACCAGCCTTTGACTCCCACTGTGAGACGTGACATGCTGCCATGGTGAGCTCCTCCAGGTATCACATCAGTGTGACTCTCAGCGCACCTCAGAATCCCCTTGTGGGGTGCCTTGTTCAGCCACTTACTCGCTTCAAATGTGATCCATTTGCCCTTCAGTCATGACGGAAGGAGCAACACTCAAGAGAATTTGCTCATAGAATGTTCTGGAAGTTTCTTCTCTATAAAATTGAAAGTGTGTTTTTCAGAAGCCTTGGGAGAAACAAAGAGCTCTGATGACCCACACTGCATTGTACATCTTAAGGAAAACTCATCCTACAGAACGGAAAGTTCTCTTTGTGTGAAAGAGAATTGGCAAATGGCATCTGAGAAAGCCCAGAAGATCAACATGAAGCATTTAATAAAACAATGAATGAGCATTTAACATTTAGTTGTCTTGAAAAACAATGTACAACATGGTTGGAAAATGGGGTCACAAATTAAGAAGCCATTTAAAATC